TATGGCCCCTAGCTGCTCTTTAGGTCTGGAATTGAACCCACTCCTGTGGCTTCCAGCCAAACAAAAGACAGGCATATGAGGTGAACATTTGCATTAGGTAGATATACTCCTTGAAGAGAACAATCATGGGAAAATAGAAGGGCTGTGTATGCACAAGGAGACAGCTCAGGGGGCAGGAGTACATGGAGGGAAGGACACAGGGAAGAGGTAACTATGGGGAGGAAGTGGGAGGGGAGCTGTTGCATTGTGATAAATTGTAGTCAATGTCTTGAGATAAAATGTATGTGAGCTGCTGTATGGAAAGTGAATTTGCTCTGTAAACTTCCCCCTAATCACAATTTAAAAACAAAAACAAAAACAAAAAATGACTCTGACCACTGTCATCATACTAATGGTGTGAGACTGAATGGTTTTACTCTAAGATCCCACTCATCTCTCAGTTTGTCATACTAGGGTGGCTTGTGTGTTGCTATGACACTAGAGGCTATGCCACTGGTATTTCAAATACCTGTAGGGTCACCCATGGTGGATAGGCTTCAGTGCAGCTTCCAGACTGAGAAAGATTGGAAAGAAGGATGGCACCATCCACTTCTAGAAAAATTGACCAGGAAAAACTTTATGAATACCAGTGAAACACTGATATATTACTGGAAAACTTTATTAATAGCCCTGAATGTGTATATGAATCACATTATCTGATATAGTGCCAGAAGATGAGCCCCAGGATGGAAGGGACTAAAAATACTACTGGGGAAGAGCTGCCTCCTGAAAGTAGAGTTGACCTTAATGACATAGATGGAGTAAAGCTTTCGGGACCTTGATTTGCTGTTAGGGCATGATTCAAACTGGGAAGAAACAGCTCTAAACATCCATTCATAGTTGGAACATGGAGTGTACGAAGTATGAATTTAGGAAAGTTTGAAGTTGTCAAAAATGAAGTGGAACACATAAAGATTCTAAGAATTAGTGTGCTGCAATGAACTGGTTTGGGCCAATCTGATTCAGACAGTCATATATGGTCTGCTATGCGGGGAATGAAAAATTGAAGAGGAATAACATCACGTTCATCGTCAAAGAGAATGTTTCACAGTCTATACTGAAGTATAGTACTGTCAGTTGTAGGATAATATTCATACACGTACAAGGAAGATCAGTTAATGCAACTGTTTT